TCGGGGCGCCCCGCTGACGTGTGCTCTGCGCGCAGGCGCCGCCGGAGGCTCGGCGGCCGGCTTCAGTCGGGTCCGGGAGCTTTTGAGGAGGGAGTTCAACCGCTCCGTGGAGCTTCAGGTACGCTACGCGGCGGCTCACCAATCCACCGTGTCATTGCGAGCGCGGATGCGTGTTTGGGCTCCTCTTTTTCGGGGCGGCTCCGTTCGCTTGGCCACCCGACGGGCGGGGGGGCTTTCTCCCACGGCTCTCGCGGCCGGTCGACGCGTACGTGGAGGCGCCGCGAGGGCCGAACGGCGTCGTGGCGCCTCCTGGTGAAAACTGTTGAGCTGACGTGATCTGGCTCCGATCAGCAATTGATGCCCTGGCGACGATTTGGCCCCCGAGCCAACGCTCGGGCAAGGTTGCGCCCGGGCGGGCGAACTCAAGAACCCCACGCGTGGCGTGAAAAGGCCTTCCGTCCAACAGGACGCGCCCCCTCCCCCCTCCAAGCCACCGGCATGCCGAGTCATAAGCTGCTCAAGTTTCACAACCTTTTCAGAACGTCCACCGATCTGCCACTGAGCATTTTGCTCGTGTGTGTTGCGCGTCAGTTCATGAGAACGGCGTCCAGTTTGGCCTTCCGCGCGGTCTCCGGCCCGTCGATCTACACGGCCATCTCCGTCCTCAACGCCCTCCGCCGACCGCAGCGGCTCCGGGGCCCGCTCCCCGCCGTGTCCGCCCTCTCCGCCGCCCCGGACGTCAGGTACCGGGTGCACACGGTGCTGCTGTTCGTCCCCGCCCACGTCGACGTCCGACTCTGCGACTTCGGCGAGCTCCCGAGTCCCGGGGCTCGGGCGACTTGACTCGGGCGGGGCCCGATTTCGGCCTCCCCCCCGGCCGCGCCGCGCTCGGCGGGCCTTTTTCACGCCTCGTCTTCCTTGTAGCTGCTGAACGTGACGCTGGGCGAGGCGAGGCCGTCGGCGGCGCAGAAGCTCCCCGTGGACATCGTGTTTGCGCTGCGCGACGGGCGAGGAGGCTACCTGCCGGGATTCGAGGTCAGCCGGCACCTGAGGAAGCTCAGCCTGGTGGAGTTCAGCTTCTACGTGGGCTTCCCCGCCCTGCAGATCGCCGAACGTAGGGCGCGCGACGTCACGCCGGCCCGCCTCTCTGCCGGCGGCAAAGGGTAACCTCGGCCGCTTGGGGCTCTCTTTCAGCGTTTCATTACCCCGAGCTCAACACCTCCCATCACCTGAGGTTCACTTGGGTCCGCACGGGTGAGAAGGCTTTTTTTTTGGGGGGGGGGGGGTGCCGGGGGGGATGCGTCTCGGCTCATTCCAGTCACTGTGGACACTTTCAGTCCTGCTGGGTGTTCCGAGTCAGACGCTTTCGGAGCAAAGTTTGAAAGCTGGTCTGGAGCGCCGCTTGGCCTCGCTGCTGGAGGAAGGGCTCGCGGCGTCCGGCGGGAGGCGCTGGAGGAGGGCCACCGCCGCCGCCGACGGCAGCCTGCAGGTGGTGCGGGTGGCCCGCCTGGCCGGGCCCGAGCGCCCCCTGGAGGTTTTATATTTTGCCGAGGGGCCCGGAGGCGCGCGGGTGCCGGCCGAGGTGACGGCGGAAACCCTGAACGGCTTGGACCTCCAGAGAGCCGCCATTGTCCTGGGACATCGAGTCCGCCGACCGCTGGCCCAACGTGAGTCGCGCCCGGGAGACCGGACCTTGCTTTTGGCGTTTCTGTTGTTGTTGTTCCGACGAGCGGCCGGCCGCGAGAGCGAGGGAAAAAAGTCACGTCTTCTTTTGTGCCGCCGTAACCTCGTCGGGCCCCCGCTCGTCCCCCAGCGGTGGAGACGGCGTCGGTGCCGCCGGCCGAGACCCAAAGCGGCAGCGTTTGGCTCGTCGTGGGCGTGATCGTGCCGGTCTTCCTGGCCCTCTTCATCGTCGCCCTGCTCTACTGGAAGCTGTGCGGCTCGGAGAAGTTGGAGTTTCAGCCGGACGCCGTCAACGCCGTCCAGCAGAGGCAGAAGGTGAGACGTCGACCCGGGCCCACTCGCCGACGTTCCCCGGCGACGCGCCTCCTCGTCTCTCAGCTTCAGGCTTCCAGCGTGAAAGGCTTCGACTTTGCCAAGCTTCACCTGGGCCAGCGCGGCAAAGACGAGACGGCGGTGATCCAGGAAGCGGGCCCGCCGCCGCCGGCGCCCGCGAAAGAAGCCGCGCCCTCTGACGGCGGGGACCTCGCCGCCCCCAAACCCAGAGGCTCGTCCGCCAAAACCGCCAGAGCCGCGCGGCGCCACGGCAGGTCGGTCGCTCGTCACCCCCGCGGCATCTTGAGAACCTCGGCCGCTGAGCTCCTTTCGCTCAGCCGGGCAGACGCGCGGGTTTGTCGGGCCCGTCCCTCCCGAGGGCCGCCGGGATGCGTTCAAAAATAAGCGCGGCAGCCGACGGATGCTCGTGAAGCCGGGTCGAGCGACCCGCTGGTCCAGCGACCCGCTGGTCGAGCGACCCGCTGGTCTCGCCGCGCTCCTTCTCGATTCCGCCTCTCGGGACCCAACCGGTGACGCGGCGCGTCTCAGCAGGACCAGCCAATCGGAGGCCGACTCGCTGGGCAGCGACCGATCCAGCGGCAGAGAGTCGGCGGACGAGAGCGCTCGCCCCGCGGCCGCGCCCGTGGAGGCCAAGCAGCAAAGGAAGATGCCCAAAAATGGTGAGAGCCGCATGATTTTGGGGGTTTCCATCGAGCAATGCATTTGGGGGATTTTTTTCACGTCATTTTTGGGGAAAAAAGCACGGCCACGGGAGCGCTTTCAAAGGCTCGCCTCGACTTTCGTGGGCGTTTTGAGGGCTTTGCCGCACCCGCCGCCACCCGAGCCCCGACCAAACGTCTTCCTCTCGCAGCTCCGTCGGGCGGGGATGAGCTCATGTCGTCGTCTTCCATCTTCGACCACGTGGACCGCCTGTCCCGCGGCCCGTCGGACGGCGCGCGGCGGCCGGCCGGCAAAGTTCAGCTGATCGCCATGCGGCCGCGGCCCGGCCCGTCCCTCTCGCAGAAAGTCGGCACTGAGGTCAGCCCCGTCGCGCGCGAGAAGCTTGACGTGGAGAAAACGGGAAAGTCGGACGGAGAAAGCGAGACGGCCAGCGGCGCGGATGGCACGCGAGCGGACGGGGCGGCGGTAATCGCCCCGGCTCCCCCCCAGGTGGAGCTGCGCCACAAGTCCGAGATGGAACTGCGCGGGAATAAACTCCGGCAGCGCGCCAAGAGGCGGGGGCAGTGCGAGTTCCCGTCCATGGACGATATCATGGACGCCTTCGGGGACGGGCCGGTCCAGACCGAAGCGGCTCGCCGTCTCTACGGCGAGCGCGCCGACGACGTCCCGCGGGCCGACGCCTCGTCCCCGCCGACGCCCGGCGACCAGCGGCGGAGGTAACGTCTTGCGTCCCTTTCCCGTTGGCTCGGCGAGACCCCGTTCAACACTCGCCGTCGTTTCTACGGGGGCCCTCGGACACACCCGAACGCTCGCAGCCGTTTCCGTGGCGTCGATAGGATACAACAAACGCAGCGTTGGCGACGGAGGCGGGCTACCTTCCGGTCGCTACTCGAGATCTGCAGAAATGCCGTGAAGCTAAATGACGTTTTGTCTTCGTGATTTAATTATGGGGGGAGGGGGGGGGGGGGTCCACAACATGTGGCACCGCAAGCCTTTTGGCCACTTTTTGTCACGCACGCACCCGGTCCAGGTCACCCCGATCTCACGGGCCGAGGTCGGCGTCGCTCACCGCCGTGCGCTCTGTCCCTCCAGAGGGAGAAGCTCCCCCGGGGGGCCACGGACCGCGGCCGGACCCGGAAGCCTTCCCGACACGGACCGGGACCGCCTGCTGGTGGACCACGGCGCCACCTACAGGAAGTACCCGGGACTCCAAAACGTGGCCTACACGGTGAGAAAGGCAAAGCGGACGCCATGCCAAGCGAAGCCGGCCCTCTCTCGGCCGCGCCCGGCGCGCTTCAGTGAGCGACTGGCGTTTGTTCTCGGTCAGTCGGACCCGGACCTGGCCGCGGAGCTCCGGAGCCCGTCCCCCGCCTGCGCCGCCGCGGCCCTCCATCGAGGAGGCCCGGCGGCAGATGCGCTCCCTCCTGGACGACGCCTTCGCTCTGGTGTCCCCGTCCTCGCTCGGCCCGAGCCCGGGGAGGCAGTGGGGGTCCTACCCGGCGGGCCCCTTCTCGGCCGTGAGTCCGCCGCCCCGCCGCTCGCCCTCTCCACCTCGCGCCTCTCTCCCGTTCCCCTCTTGTCGCCGCAGAGATACGCCGACCCGGCGCTTTCTCCGACCTCGGGCCCGGGAGCTGCGGCGGGTCGTCCGCAGAGGTGACGCTCCGGCCCGTCCCTCGCCCGCCGCCGCAGTTTCTGAGCAGGTTGTTTGATTTCTTTTCTTTTCTTTGTCCTCCGGCGGCTCCCAGGCAGAGCTCGGGAGGCGGCGTTTCCGGCGGCGAGCAGCTGCAGGATCCTTTGTGCTCCAGCAGGGGGCAGTACCAACACTTGCCTTCCTCCTCCAGGCCCCGACCTGTTGGGGGCAGCGCAGGTACTGCCTTTTGGTTCCGCTTTTGTTTTTTGTGGGCGACGGGAGGGGGGGCTGTGGGATTCGAAAATGAACCACCCAAAAGCTTTCAAGCTCCTCATTGTCTCGGTTTGCATCTCTGTCCAGACTATTCCCCCCCCCCACTTCTCCAGCTGTTAATCAGTCACCCAATGGAAGCAGGATCCTGATCAGGAACTGCTCATGAGAGGTGGCGCTTGGTGCTCCAATACATGGATGATTTGCGTCATCTGGGGGGGTGGCGCCAGGTCGCGGGTCGGCCAAGAAGTTTTCCGTGAATTGCTTAGGTTGCGTCGGACAGAAGGTGGCGGGTGGCGAGGACGCAGCGGACGGGGACTTTGATGTGCGTGTTTTGCGTTCAGCGGGCGTGCAGCTGCGGCACCTGACCCAGGTGGGCCTGTCCAGCCAGATGGGGGCCTACCCCGGCGTGGGGCGCAGCGCCTCGGGACCCACTGGCTGCTCCTGGAGCGAGCGACATTCCGACCAGGACGCGCCCGCGGCCGCGGCCGGCAGGGAGAGCGTGAGTGCGGTCGCCATCCGTTCGCCGCTCGCCGAGTCAACACGCTTTCAGGTTTGGGCGGGTTTTTTTTTTTTGTGCGTGCGTGTTGTCGCGACAGGCGCTCTGCTTCCCCGAGTTCTCGTCGTCGCCGCTCTTCCAATTGGCCAGCTCTTCGCTGCGGGACCCGTCGGCGCCGCCTCTCCTGCTCGCTTCCCCGACTCCCGACTACCTGCCGGCGGACGCCTCGCCCTCCGCCCGCAGCTCGGCCTCGCTGATCAAGGCCATCCGAGAGGAACTTCGCCTGCTGGCCCGGAAACAGGCGGCGGGCGGCTACCCCTAGCGCGCTCGACCGGCCGGCCCGTCGGGACGCCCCGCAACGGCCGCTCCTCCCCGATACCCCGACCGTACCCCCCGCAAATGTTTCCTGAAGTCGATGGCTCCTTTTCAAAGGAGGAGAAAAAGTCGGACGCGGATTTCTTCATCCCGGAGATCTTGAGCGTCTTCCCGCACATCGGTCTCCCCCTTTGTGGCTGTCGTCCCGGCGGCTGTTCGGGGGCGGGCAGATTGCGACGCGCCTCCCGACCTTCCGCGGTGCTAAAAGTGTCAATCTGTCACCGTCGATCATACGTACGCCTTCCGCGCTCCCGTCGGCCGGGGGGGACGGAGTTGTCTGTCTGGCTGAAAACCGGCGGTGAGGCCTTGGGACTGGAGGTGCCTTCCAGTCCGCAACACTCTTCAAATAATCGCATGAGCACAATATTCGAGGAGGCCTTGCTGCTGACATTGCGACTGATGAGCAGAGCTCGGAACTCCACATGACGCGTGTGTGTGTGTGTGTGTGTGTGTGTAAACCTTTTTTTTCTGTATATCAGAGATGGGATCAAGTCTCGCCTGAGAATGAAGCCACGACTCGAGGAGCGGACACGGCGCCGAAGAAGCTTCTCAGCTGCTTCTCAGCTGCTTCTCAGCTGCTTCTCAGCTGCTTGAACGGAACATCTTTGTGGATATTTTCACGCCTTGCTTTTTCCTTCAGCGTTTTTCTGGAGAATCCTTTTGGCTAATGCGGCTCAATGGCCGGCAATCTTTTCGCCGTTTGTGGGCTATTTGTCACTTTCGCTTCTGGAAAATTGGGTGTCGAGCGGCGCCGGCACTGGCGCGTTTCCCCAAGCGCTTATCGGCCCCTCGTCTCCCGTCGCTCAAAAGGGAACCAAACTAAACTTGGGGCCGGAGCAGCGAGTGAGCAGATTGGCGTGCGACCGAAATTCGGCACCGCGGCTTGAAGCGCATCGTATTTTGATAGATTGTACAAAAGTGTAGTATCTCATCACGTCTCAAGTCAAATCCCGAGTCTTTAAGCCCCAAGTCCAAATTTTTTTTTGGAGCAAAGCGTTGGCTTCGATGTCGTCCGGAGTCCGCGTGGCCACGACTCCGGTGCCCATCTCTGATATGGCGAGACAGGAAATGCGTCGACGTCGTCGAAAAGAGACAGACGGGCGGTCCGCCGTCGAGTTGGGCTCCCGTCTGTGGAGAAATAGTCCCCCGCGCTCGCCGCGCACCGCTGCGTTGAAAAGAAGTCTGTGCTAATCGCTTGCTCTCATCTCACGGCAGCTCGGGTCAGCGGAGGAAAGCGGCCCGGAGCCCAAAGCGCCTCCGTCCCCGAAGGTGCCGCGATCGCCGAAATGTCGAGTCACGACAAAACGCCGCCGGGCAGGTAGGAAGCGGAGGGAACGGCGACGGGTTGCCCTCCGCCGATCGGCCGCTCGTCGCTTTGATGTCGCGACGACCCCGCTCGCTGCTCGATGTCCGTCCGTCCGTCTCTGCGATGTTTCCGCGTGGCCTCTTGTTGAGAGGCTTTCGCTCCGTTGGCCAAGGAGCGCCGTAGAAAATAATGTCAGACCTTGATTTGCTTCCTTCCAGGGTGTCTTTTTCACTGGCAAAGACCAAAAACTTTGCATCCGTTTGATGTCGGAGAAAAAAAAAAGATCTATCTGTCTATCTCTATCTATCTATCTATCTGTCTATCTATCCATCGGAAGTATTTGTGAATGGTCCGCTTAGCTTTCGGTCAAGCTGTCACATGGTGCTACTATCGATTAAACTGTTGAGGTTGTTGAATGGGCAAAAGGCGGCTCGCTTTCTTTTTCTTCCATCTCGTCGGCCGTTTTCAGGGCCTGAAGGTCGTCGGCGGGTGTCCTCCGACGTTCTTTCTTTTTCTGTCACCAGGTGAAACGGAGCGCTTGGCGGTTCTCTTCATCGCTCCCTCCGCTCTCCTTTTCATCAACTTTCCAGGTCACAAAACATTTTGGATCCCTCACTCAGGCAAAAAAAAAAAAGAAAGCTTTCCGTTGTCCACCAGTTCATCAATCGGTGTCAAACCTTGGCTTGTTTTGTCGCGACGGCTTTCCTCAGACAGAGGATGACGGTGAAGCCCAATCGACGTCCAATCATCTCAGTGTATTCTCCAATGCGCACCACTTGACGAATGAAACGTTGTCAAAACAGAAAGCAGGGTTTATATTTCAATTCTTGTCAAAGGGCAACTAAAAAAAAAACGTGCACAATCTCGAAGTTGGTCGTTGCTCGTCAGGGTTTGAAATGTTGGCCGAGATTTTCGCCAGCATCACGCCAATTGACGCTCGTGATTTGCGGCACAAATTGTGCCATAGTTGCTATTCATAGAAAACGTAAAAGGTGAATTGCGACCAATCGGTGTGTTCCAAAAATAAAGCGGATGCACTTGGCATTTTCTCCTGTCGAGGCTTCCGTACGCGGTCCACCTGAACGAGCGAGCGGGGAAGGTTTCACCCGCCCCCCCCTCCCCCCCTTCCGTATTCACCTGCCTGCCACGAAGCATCAACAACAAACAGGAAGCTCGAATCGAAACGGAGCAACCCGCGAGGTCGCCGAGAGCTGCTCGCTCGCTCGCTCGCTCTCTGAACCGTCTTCGTTTCTTTGGACAGCCAACAGGTCGAGTCAAACGCGTGTGAGTTGACCCCGAGCCCGCCGCACTCCTCTCCACAATCGGCCGCGTTCCCTTTCGCTGCTCCGATTGAGTTTGTGGAAGTGCCCAAAGCGGAAGGCGGCGCGGCGCGGCACGGCCGACGGGCTTGCTTCCTCAACGCGCGGTGCCGAATTGCGCTTTGGAATCGCAGCTTCGCTCCGTTCCGAAAATGCCTTCGTTCACGCGGAAACGAGCGCAAGTGTCTGAAGATGGAACGCGGAGATTCAACAGACAGACCGACACCTTCCTAAATGCGTCCAAATGGGAACCGCGTGGCAAGGGAAAACGTTTGCCGTCTTAGCTCGACCGATGTCCGCTCAATGAGCGGCGGCCGCTGGAGTTTTCTCCAGGGGGCGCCACGCACGAATAGGAAAACCTGTTGGGCTGCAAAGTGTGTGTGTGTGTGTGTGTGAATCATTTCCAAGTGTCAGACCCAAAGGCTCTCATCTGGAAGACCGAGGAGCGAGCGCGCCCCTCTTTCTCACGCCTGGCGACAGTCGTTTCCCGGTTTCTGGCTTCCAGAATGGCCGAGAGCGGCAAGACCGAGCTGGTCAGCGCCATCTACCTGCAGGAGCTGCAACCGCCGGAGCGGCGGGATGCCGCCAAGCGCGACGACGACCGAGGTGACTGACCCCGCTGGCCTTTTTTGTCGTCATCTCGCCGGAACGTTGGCCCGAGCGTGCGCCTCGTGTTTTCAGAGCCCACGTATACGGTGGAGGAAGCGGTGGAGAGCATCGGCTTCGGAAGATTCCACGTCTTGCTCTTCGTCATCATGGGCAGCTCCAACGTACGCCGCCGGCCGCCGTCCGCGCGGTGACGACGACGACGCCAAAAGCAAACGCCTCGGCCTCCTCGTGCGCGCAGATTGTGGAGGCCATGGAGATCATGCTGCTGGCGGTGGCGTCTCCCGAGATCCGTTGCGAGTGGCGTCTGGATGACTGGCAGGTGGCGCTGGTGTCCACTGTACGGTGAATTCGGAGCAAGCCTCAATCCATGTGGAATTTTCTCCCCGACGCGGATGGAGGCCTTCCGACGCCTCCAATCCTCCCTCGCCCAAAATCCGGCGCCGTCTTTGCCTTGACTTTTGGATTCCGGAACGCCGTTTTTTCACTCGCTTTTCCGTTCTTCTCACGTGACCGCGTTCGAATTTCCCCCGTTTTTTTCATCTCGTACGTACACGAAATGTTGTCCATGTTGGTTTGTTCTTGCAGTTGTTTCCATCTGCGCCACGTTGTGCTTCCAGATGGTGTTTTTGGGCTTCATGGTGTGCGGCGCGCTGGGCGGCTACGTGGCGGACAAATACGGCCGCTGGAAGGTGGCGCATTCTTCGGCGCGGCGCGCGAGCGGGCGGGACCTTCTCAAGCCGCGTCTTTGTGTGCGTGCGGATGTGTTCAGGTGGTGTACGGCGGCTTCGCGTGGAGCGCCTACTTCTCCCTCCTCACCTCCTTCGCGCCGTCCTACGCCTGGTTCGTCTTCCTGCGCAGCATGGTCGGTTGCGGCGTGGCCGGGGTGTCGCAGGGGTCAGCCGCTCGCGCACCTTCACGCCCGAATCGCTTTTGGCCTCACTGCCCGTTTTTAGCTCGGTCTTATTTCGTTGCAATCCTACCTGGAGTAGCATTTGCCAATTGGCGGGGATTCGCCTGG